GTTTGTATACGGAAATCCCACAAGATCTTGACCATCTGATTTTCGGTGACTTTTTCAGGCTGATGTTCCCACCAGTTTGTTGCTATTTTAATATTTATTATTATTATTATTACTACTACTACTACTATTATTATTATTAAAGGTTTAATCTTCAATTCAATTCACAGGTGGGGACTGGGAGCAACTTAACCGTTCAAGTTAACCTAAGAACTGTTAAAAGTAATGTCTTATAAACAGTTCTAAATAAGATGAGTTTATTTTTATTTTGGTTGCAAAGTCAGAATATTATTATTATTATTATTGCTATTGTTATCAATTTGCTGCCCATCTTCGAGGGGATTCCGAGAGAGAAGAAGAGAAACGTAGCTGAGCATCCGGGCTTTTTCGTGGCCCCGAGCCACACTTTCACCCTAAGTGAACCCTCCGTGGGGCACCGAAGGAAGGACGCCCCTCCCTCCTCGCTGCCCCCCCTTCCCCCCAGGCCAAGGCCCCGCCACGTACCCTTCTCCAGGTACTCCTCCAGGCCCCTCCTCCGGGCGTCCAGCTGCTGCTCCGAGAGGGAGAAGGGCCACTTCCCGGGCAGGCGAGGGAAAGTGAAATTGGCAAACTCCCGTTTCAGGTTATGGTGGAGGATGGCAAACTCGCGGTAACGCTTCGAGCACAGCTGCCTGCCCGCCATGTACACGTTGTAAACCTAGAAAAAGGAGAATTTAGATATATAAGTCTATGTTTACATATAAGCCAGCAGCAAGGAAGGAAGGAAAAGGAGAAAGGACCGCAGAGCAGGGGACTCTAACAGAATGACAAGAGCCGGAAGGGACGCTGGAGGTCTTCTAGTCCAGCCCCTGCTTGAGCTGGGGACGGTGCACCATTCTGGACAAATGCCTGTCCAGCCTCTTCAGTGACGGAGCACCTACAATTTCAGGTGGCGAGCAGTTCCACTGGTTAATTGTCCTCGCGGTCAGGAAATTTCTCCTTAGTTCCAGCTTGCTTCCCTCCTTGATTAGTTTCCATCCATTGCTTCTCTTCTTCCCTTTGGAAAATAAGTTGACCCTCCCCTCTTCTTTGGGGCAGCCCCACAGATATTAGAAGGCTGCTATCCTGTCGTTGTCCCCCGTCCCCCCCCCGGTCCTTCTCTTGAATAGGTCAGATCAGGGGTCGGCAACCTGCATCCCTGCAGCCACATGCGGCCCTTTCATCCCTCTGCGGGGGCTCCCTGGGGCTCGGGAAGGCGGCAAAGGGCGCCCGGCCCGGCCGGCGCTTACCACGAACTTCTCCCCGTTCTGCTCCACGTGCTTGTAGGTGGGGATGGAGATGGGCACGGCCTGCTTCTCGGTGTAGTCGTAGAAGGACTGGCCCAGGGAGTCGTCTCCGGGGTCCAGGCTGTCGGCCTCGTGCGGGGGCACCGACAGGACCGTCAGGATCAGCTCCTTCTCCCCGGCCCGGATCAGGTCCACCACCTGCTTGTGGGTGGCCCCTTCCACGTTTACGCCATTCCTGGGGGGGGGAGAGGGGGGAAGGG